CAAAGTGCATGCTATGCTTTAGATATGGTTCAGTGTGTCCCTCCAGCATTCATGTGTCAAAATTTCATCCCCATCAAGATACATTAAAAGGGTGGAACCATAAATGCACTATGGTGTTCAGGGGTGAAGCCTTTGGAAGGTGGTTAGGACTTGATGATGTCACTGGGGCAGAGACCTCAGGATTGAATCTTGGTGGCTTTATAAGAAGAGGGAGAGAGACCAGAAGAGACAGACATGTGTACTCCATCCTTTGCCGTGGAATACCCTGCAGCACCTTGAGACCCTGCCAATAGAAAGGTCATTGCCAGATGTGTGGCTCCTCCACCTTGGACTAGATTGTGAGCCAAAATACACTTCTTTTCTTTACATCTTACTGAGTCTGTGGCATTGTCCTCAGAAAACAGATTGAAATACCGCATGAATACTCATACTTTTGAACTAGTAAATGTTTTTTATCTGTTTAACTGTCCTGTGAGAACTAATTTAGGGTCCCAAGAGAACCACTCTGAGCCCTCCTGAGGGCTAATCTCCAGTGACCTATGGACCACTAGGCCCTAGCTTTCAGAGGTCCCACCATCTCTTCACATTATCACACTGGAGACCAAACTGCCAACACAGAAATCCTTGGGGAACAAAATATATCCAAACTGTACCACCCTGTCTGTGGTACACTATTACAGCAATAGAAAACCAAATCAAGATATCCCTCAATTCAGCACTGATTTGAAAATTATAAACCACTTCCCTTTGAAATAATATTATACATAATGTTTTAAGATCTCTGTCAAATCTCCAAGAGCTGATTTAAATTCTCAATGATGTAGAAACTATGTTTATGATAAAAAGTTTAAAAAAAAGAAGCTAGTGACATATTCTCCACAAAAAATAACCAATAAATAACTGAATACAAGTAATTATTTTTCACTTGATTATGACTCAGGGAATGCAGATTTAACTACAGCAAAAGGAGAGTATCTTCCTTCCATGCCCTCCCAGTTGCCACCATCCATCCGTTTCTCAACGGCTTTTTCTTTTGGAATGAGTATGTGGACTGAGGACCAAAGCTTTATGCTGGATTCCTTCTGGCTTAGCTCTGTGTAATTTCAGGGTCCACACGGAACCACATTCAGCACCCCAGTCACTTTGCTCCTTGTGTCCTCATCTTCAGGGATTTTCTCAGCTCCCCTCCAGCTCCCACTTCCACAGGTAATGCCTGGATGATGCTGTCCCCCAGGACTGCTTCACCTCTAGAGTTAAACTCACAGGTCCCCACTCTGACAACTCACCTTGAACCTTCCAGATCACGTGTTACATTATTTCCAACACGCCCACTCCTCAACAATTCAGACTACCCAGATGACCTGTCCCTTGGCTTTCTCGCTGGAGTCTCCTTCTGTTTTACCTTTCCAACACAGATTCCAAAAGGCAGTTTTTGTGCTTTAGTCCTTGGATTGCAATGGTTCTGCCTAACATAATCCAGGAAATTTGCAGCAGAAAGGCTGAACACTCCTGGATAGTCATATATCCAGTTTGACCTTCGTCAGTTCATTGGTCATCTAATTCAGCCTCAGTGTTTCCTACCAACTCTAAACTTGGTGGATGGATGCACAGACACAGAGATGTCTGTGTGGTAATTTGTGGAGATGAAGAGATTCTCCAGATTCTGTCTAATGCTTCAGAGATGGATGCCCTTCAGCCCAGGGCTTCCAGTTTTACTTCAAAACACATAGCTTTGTTTCCTTTAAGGTAGCTGTCTCTGTGCTGCTCAAAATTCCTCAACCACATGATGATTTTCTGCTTTGGTAACTTGGGCTATAATCAAATGAGGAGAAGAAACATTAACTAAGGTAGAAATAGACAAATTCTAAAATATAAAGTGAACAATATCTATTTCTGCATCAGAATTGCCTGAGATGAAACTGTGATAGAAACTGAAAAGAGAAAGTAGGGACTTACAGTGACTTGTGTCCACTAGGTTCCAAATTAGTCTCAACTTTCAAACTTCACAGTGTTATTGTCTTGTGGTCACTTAGTTGTCATTCACTAGTCAACAAGTACTTTTTTTCATTTTTTGTTCTGGTACTGGGACTCAAACTCAGGACCTTGCACTTGCCAGGCAGGTGCTTGTGCCACTGAGCTGTATCCCCAGCCCAACAATTCCTTATGGAACATCTTCCTTTTGACAGACATTGTTCTAGGAGCTTAGAAAAGAAGAATGAAATAGAATGTCCCTGCTCTCACAGTCTAAGTAGAAAGAAAAAGTAATAAATATATTTTTTAAAAAGAGAGAATGCAGTAATTTTAGTTAATGGTATATTTTAAAAATTAAGTAAAATAGGATAATAATTAGACAGTGAATGGAGAATAGGGAGAGCATTTTAGACTGTGTGGTCAAAGAAGTCATCCCTAAAGAGGTAGTAATTTAGCTGAAAACTTGTGAGAAAAGAACTATGCACACGGAAACCTGAAGTGCTGACTTTCACCTCACGATCACAAGATGGCCGCCACAGCGTTAAGCATCACATTCTCACATCACAACTTCTAAAGGGGGTCTGGGTGTCTCCCGTTAAGAGGAATAAAATTATTTCCCATATAGCATACTGTATTATTCAGCTTTTTGTTGCTATGATGAAATATCTGAGAAAAGGAACTTAAAGGAGAAAAACATTTATTTTGGCTCACAGTTTTGGAGGTTTCAGTCCTTGGTTCTGTTGTTCCTGGGCCTGTGATGAGGCAGAGCAGTACAGTGCAAAGGTGTGGCAGAAAGAAGCTACTTACCTCAGGGCAGCGAGCAAACACTGAGTGAGCCAGGGTTGACAAGATCCAGTCCCCAAGGTTGTGCCCCCAAGACTAACTCCCTCAGCTGACCCCATCTCCTAAATTGCTGTCACCTCCTAATAATCTCATGACATTATGGATCCAGTGCTGGAAAAATCCACACATGAAGCTCTCCTCCTTGATCCAATCACTTTCCAAAAAGCCTCTGAGAATATATCTTGGATCCAAATCTTAACACACACTTCATGTGCCAGTGACTAGAACTGGATCCTACACACAGCCTGGGTTTGTAATGATTGGCTGGGAACAACAATGGCTCAGCTGAAACCAGGGAGGGGAATCCTTACCCGCAATCTGAACCTGAACCAGACCAGCTTGCCATTAGAAAGCAACAAGGGTAAGGCAGCTACCCTCCGGTAAGTGTGAGCTATTTCACGAATCTAGGATTCACTGAACACCTGTGTGCCAGGCACTACGCTAGCGCTAGAGATAAAAGGAAAACCTAGACTCCACTTTCCCCATCTCTCTGTTGAGGGCCGCACCCTCACCTTTCCTCACCACGTCCAAGCCCTCGGGTTTCTCCAGGCACCGCTCATGGCCCCTTGCATCCCAAAACCTCCTCCCACCTCTTCAGCTCAGGACCACCTTCCCTGCATCCCAGTTCCTACAGCCCGTTTATTCCTTTGGCATGCCATCACCCACTGAACAGCTGGGCCTTGGGAATAGCTGAAAGGACACAGTCCCTGTCCTCACAGTCCCTGCAATCTCCTGCCAGAAAGAGATCACTAAATACTCACTTGAAAGAATGGGAAGTGTTACAAGAGGCGAAAGGCAGGTGCCACGGAGCACCGAGAAAGAACACTTTAAACAACTCATCCAGGTGGGGTGAGGCATGAGATGGTGCTGAGAAAAGATGTATGTTGGAGAAAGTGTCATACAAATCAATACTTAGTGGGATTTAAGGAACGCGAGAATAAAGGTCAGTGAAGGTCACAGGCTGGGAGAAAAGGTAGGACGGCTCCCCTACCTAGAAAAATGTGCATGTGCAAAGGGCCAGGGGTGGGCACGTGAGCCAGACAAAAGGGGGGGAAGCTCAGCACTGCTGCTGAGTGGAAAGGGAGAACAGGGAGAAAGGAGGCTGCAATGACAGCTAGAGGGCAGGTCAGCAGGGTGGGAAGCAAGTCTGCACTTTGAAAAGCACTCTTACTTCCTTGCTCCCCTCCCCTTCTCACTTCAGCTACACCGCGAATAGGATGACCAGCAAGGGACTGGGGCAATAGGGTGGGCCCGGGCAGAGGCCCAGGAGTGGGTAATGATCCAGGAGGGTTCAGGCTGTGAGTAGTCACGGGCGGCTTCAGGCAGTTCTGGTTTGGCTACTTGTAAGGACGGCAATGTCCCTCACCGAGCCACCCGCCACTGGCTGGCTGCATTTTTATACCAGTTTCGTTGAAGCTGCCTCCCACATGGCACTGAACACAGTGTGCTCCTTAATTAACTTTTTAAAAAATGGCCTTTCTTCTCCCTTTGAACTTTCCACATCTCAACCACGCCCTTCTTATCTTGGGTCACATCTCTCTCCCCCAGACCTATTCCACCAGACCTTCTCCGGGTGCTTCTCACATGAACAGCGCAGCAGAACCAAGGTTTAGGGGTATCAAGTTTTCATCACTCCTCTTCTCCGAGAGAAACCCGTACTTTTTGAGCACCTACTATGAGACAGGCACTAACATGCCCAGAATTCTCTGTCATCAAGAACACAGTTTTTCAACTCACTCAGGCCGTCCAAGTAGGCATTTAATGGTCGCTGATCAATGAACTGCAATTAGCGTGCCACACAAATCCAACCTTTTTCTTCCAATCTTTTATTCTTTTTTTTTTTTTTTTTTTTAAGCCTCTTACCCCGTACATTGTAAAGATTAAGCATATGGGACAGCACGATCGCACACGCACCCATGTCCCTTCTGGGAGTCTTCCACGTGGTCTTTCATAGGCGCGCAGTACTTACAGTATGCAATTTCTTCATTTGGGGTTACCGAGTACTCATTTTTATAACACTGCTTACTGCGCAGGGGCTGGAAATACATGGATCGCTACGTTTTACGTAGCACTATGCCTGGACGAAGCACCAAAGTGAGGACAGTGAACTCAAAGGCCTTTACAATATCTTGAAGCAATAACAGGCTACAGATTGCAGCAAAGGTATTTTAAAACATCACCCAGGATTAAAATAATTGAACCGATTTGTCCTTTTTTTATTGCACTCCTTATTACATTTATACCATTTAAGAAGCAGCTGTGGGAGGGGGGACACTAAACTCTCGCACCGAGTTAGACAAAGTCCTCTATCGGAGGGGCCTGGCGCGCGAAGGCCACTGCGCTCGCGCTCGCTCCATCCCGGGAAGGGACAGGAAACGAAAGGTCGCCGGGCCCAGCCCTCGGCCGGCGCGAGCGCTCGCTCCGAGCAGGAAGCCGGGCCCGAAGTTTGCCAAGTTTTCATTCTCCGGCTGCCGGCCCGCGGGAGGTGCGCGCCTCGGGGGGCTCCAGGATTTCCAGGCGAAGTCTGAGGGCGCCGCCCGGGCCACCCGCCGCCTGGCGGGGTCGCCGCCTAGGGGGACCTGTCGCCCCGGGCACAAAGACACCGGCCCCGGGGGGACACTGGGACCGTCCCGGCTCAGCCCTCAGGGAGCCAGCGCCGCGCCTCCTCTCCCGGCCGGGTCGCGCTCGGGCCCGGCCCG